ACTACTACTACTACTACTACTACTACTACTACTACTACTACTACTACTACTACTACTACTACTACTACTATACTACTGCTACTACTGCTACTACTGCTACTACTACTGCTGCTGCTGCTGCTGCTACTACTACTATTACTGCTTCTACAACTAATGATACCACCACCGCCGCCACCAGAACCTATGTAGATTCAAACCTTCAGTGATCTGCCTCAAACCGCAAACGGGTCAAAACTCCCACCGCCGAGCCCACTGCGGTCCTTTTACATGTGTTGTCCTTCTTGAACGAATGCACGTCCTTGTGGCAAGCAACACCATGTCGTTGTGGCATGTGCTACGCACAAAGGCCCTGTGTCGTAGCGGTCCTGTTGGGCCACTCTTGTGTCGTCGGCCACGCAGTGCGTAGCACCGACTAATAGCGATGGCCCCGGCGCCGCATGGCCCCTGGTCAGAACCCACCTTGAGGGAACTTCTTGGGTCTTCCCAAGTCCAAGGCAAGGGCGCAAGAGCTTCGGATGCATGATACGTAAGTGAACTTCTTTTGCAAGTGAAGGCTCGAAGGAAGTGGATTTGCCTTGCAAGTGACCTATCCATGGAATACTTGCATATGGAATGGTCCACTTGCATCTCATATTCCATGATATTCGCGATGCATTTCGCGATCAGCCGGGACCTGTCCCTGTCTCCCTGTGGCATCTTAGAGTTGGTCGATGCACTCTCACGACGTCTCTTTCTTCTTCACATATCGAAGACGACCCAGTTGGGTGATCATTTGGTGATGGAACTTCAAGCGTCTATGGTTTCTTTGGAATTGGTTACTACCTGTTGAAGCGATCTCTGACATTTGGGCTTGCTTTGCCTGTACCCAACCTTTGATACCTGCAACAGCCACAGGTATAGATAGAATGACACATGCCATGTTTGCTACTCGAATTGCAAGCAGTACACAAATTGCTGTGCAGACCATCCTGGACCCTCCAAAGTACCTTAGAACATGGGACATGACTCAGTGACATGACCCTGGCTGTACAAAAAACAGGTACTTGTATATACCAATTTTCCGAGGTACTTTGAGATTCCAGGATGTTCGTCAACGATCCAAGCTTCATCAATGATCCGTTCGTCGGCCAGAAATTCTCGAATCACCTGGTCATCCTGTGTTTTTTTGATCGCATCCATCCATCCATCCATCCATCCATTTTGGCAGCCAAGCGCCACAAGATCCAGCGCCGCGCATTGTGCGCAAAGTACCACCCAAAGTACCACCGCAGACCGCATCGCTGGATGGTCAGTTTCTGTTCCGACCACATCCATCCACCCCACGGCTGCCACGAGGTACCAAACCGCTCACAAAGTTTGGGCACCACCGCCGGACCAGTCCGGAGCCCAAGCCTCCGTCCGTCCGGCCGCGGGACCGAAAAGGGTTGGAGCGGCGACATCTGGTAGCCATTCTTATGGGTGTGTATGATAGGAACCCGGCCCCGTCTGGCACACCTCATAGGGTGCTGTTGCAAGAGAAAACTAGAGTCATGTTATTGTAATCATATTATCCTGAAGCGTTTTGAAGTACATCGTCAGAGGCCATCGCTAGTAAGGTGGTCCGCGGCCCCTGTGGGTTGGGTAAAGCTTGGGAAGTCCTCAGCGTGGTCCTCATCTGACCTGAGGCATCCAAGGTGAATGCAACTCTGCGGAAGTTATACAGCAAATGGTCAAAAGAAAAGAGAAGTTCTGCAAGGACGCGAGCAGAATCGCGCCAGCGTGAAGAAGAAAGGGGAGGGGGGAGGTCTTGGCTGTGGGAGAAATAGGTGGTCTATGGTTTTGATTGTTTTTTTGTTGGCTAGATTGTTATTGCAGTTAATCACTATATAAGCAGCGCTACCATGTTTTTTTCAGCTACACATTCGAGCAGATTGGCTTTGGTGAAAGATCAGAATTTGGGGAAGGTTTTGGCATCATGGCTCGGCTTTGCATGTAAAGGTCTCGATTCCATCTGGCTCTTTGCATCTATGGAGAACGAACCTTGTAGTGGCTCATCCAAAAAGATAATGTCCCTTGAGACATGGTCTTGCAGTCTTGCATACCATTCGGATGTTTTTGTATATATATGTTTGTTGTGTGTGTGTTTTTTTTTTCTTTTTTTTCCGGAGAAAGGCTGTCAGCCAACCCTTTGTAGCTTGAGCTGAGCTGTACTTAGCAGCTGACGGCCACCGCAGACGGTGGGGATCGATCTCTCCCGCTCAACTCGTCCTCTCCAGGATGAGGAGGCGAGGCGAACTCGGCTTCTGTCTTTGCGACGAAAACGACGGTGGTGAAGATCCAGTGCCACATCTGGTGCACCACCACGTGGTGTTTCACCCACGGAGGGTGAAGATCCGTCACGGGAAAATTGGAGGGGAAGTTGGATGGTTAGTCCCCTTCTTAGTTTTCAGATGTGGGTGATGTGCTGCTGCTTTTTCTGGGCAGTAGACTTTCAGTTCTCCATGGACCAGACGAACTGATGACATTCTGCAGTAGATGGCAGAATGGATGCTTAACCTTGCCTTGTTCAGCTAAGCAAAGGTGATGGTACCTTCAGCATCCTTGAGCTGAAGCACCTCAAAACAGGACGTTTGAAATCGTTCTTCTCCGAATCGCTGAAGAAAAGCAGTACTTCATTGACCGAGAGCCCCCCAGACCTTCGGATCGCCCCATCCACAGTCAGACATGGCACGTGCGCGGCACGCGCAGGTTCCCAACTTGACTCGAAAGAAGCCGAAGCAGAAGCAAGAGAAGCTTCCTGATGCCTTCGGTTTGACCAAGAGCTTCACGAAGGTGGAGGACGATGCTCTGGATGTGCAGAAGGAACCAAAGTCTTCCGGCGAGTTCCGCCTCGAACGACCCTCCCGGTGTGGTGCGACCCGCCAGTCTTCCGTTGGTGATCTGAAGTGATTCACGGATTTCTGAGTTTTGCAAGGCTCCGTTTCCATCCGAAATCGACAGTTCCAGAAAGCACTATTTGAGGAGAGTGGATCAGGGTGAAAAATATGCGAATCCATGAAATGACATCCATTGCCGGATACAAGCTGGCCACAATCCAGATTGTGTGTTTTCTGTTGTTGATCAAGTGAAAGGCCAAAGGCCTTGACTCACTCGGCCCAGGTTTGCTGCTCCCTGCATGGCTGATTCGAAGTTGTTCGCACCACCGTGGGAAATGTTTGCCTACCTGGTCATGGATGAGAAAGAGACGCTGCACTTGTCTCTTGGCCGCGGTTCCTTTACACGAGTGTCGTGGACGGTCAGCCTCACGGACGTCCACGTGGCGCACGGATTGGTCACTAGTCCAATCCGTGCTGAGATGAAGAACTGTTGATATATACAGAAATGTTTTCAACAGACCCTATCAATGGTAAATACCGATCAAGTGGACGTTTGCCCCTGGTGTTCAGGAGTGGTGTAGGATTCAAAGCATTATCAGTTGGAGAGGATGAGGGGGGAAGAGTCAGAAGTGGGTTCTTTTGGGCGCGTCTCGTAGGATGGGACCCCAATAGAATCCAAGACCTTGAGGGAGTGTGGAGAAATTGACTCTCCCTGACTGGTTTATTTTCATGGAAGTATAGTTGCCTGGAAAGCAGGATGTAACGCGCAAACACAAATTGCTGTGATTGAAGAAACCAGGGAAGGACAGATGCCGAAGCCAAAGCGGCATGGAATTCCACTCATCCATGTGTTCAGCCTGTTGACCACTGGGTCCATTCGGCGTAGGTGCAATGCCTAAGAGATCCTTTCGCCAAGCCCTCCGAATCTTCGGACGGTCGACAACCTACACCGAACCGTCGGAAGATCACCCCGCAGCTGGTCCCGCCGCCACCCGAGCGCACTTCTCCCAACTCGGGGGTTCTTCGACCGCGCCCGCAGTTCTCCCGCCCGTTGATAACGACCCGCGGGACCCGGCGGGGTTGCCAAGGGTCGAGACCAAGCGCTTCTTCAACTCGTTTTGGGGTTGGTCGCAGTTCGTCGAGTCCAATGGCCGGATCTACGGCGCGCCGTACTTCGCCCGGGGCGTTTTGGCGCCTTGGCCGACGCGAAATGAGCGGACGCGGACGCGGACGCGGGACGCGGGAGGCGGAGGCGGAGGCGGAGCGGGTGGTGAAAGAGGAGGAGTTTGTAACGGCTATCAGAGAGGCTTTCGCGGCTTTGCGATTAGACCGCATTTTGGCATGGCTTTTGAGATGCATTTGGAACTTCCTCCATTCACGGGAAGGGAATTGACATATAATGCGTAGGGCCGCAGTCGGGTCCTCACGATTGGCAGCTGGTGTCATGACCGGATTGTACGTCGAAGTGTGCGGTTTGAGGTCTCGGTCTCCTTCGCCACGTTGGAGCGACGGCAAACCTGGCCACATCCACCGAAGGTCAAACCATATGATTTGCGGAAGGGTTTGGCGGGGTCCTTCCTTCGAATGTTGGCCAATGTTTGCCCCGGATTCCAAGCATCACTAATTCAATAGTCTTTACCAAAATATAAGACCAGGATGGTTGGACTACAAGAATACTATGTAGTCTACTGAATGGTTGGACTACCAACAAGTTCAGAATCCTGGTCCATATATTTTCAGGATTTTCAACTCCTGCTAGGGCAAAAGTTTCAGGAAGCTAACTTGTAAAGAGAACAAACCAGTTCATCAGAAGTACTCCTCTCCTCCATCATCAAGGTGTCATTATCCCCATCACTCTCAATGTCAGATGAAACCTCTCTCCATACTCCCATGGCTGGAAAGAGACACATCGATGTTTGATCCTGAATGCCTATGGGAGACCCGGTCTGCTTTTGGAAAAGACCTGGTTGCAGTCGTATTTGCATCACTACAAGACCAGGTCAACTTTTTTTGAATGGTCAAACGGAAACCTCGGGAAGCCTCGTCTTGACTGGTCGGTGCAGGTGAACCGGTTTTTCTGCCTCAGAAGTGTGCGAAGTCGAGTGTGTTAACATGGGTGTACCTGAACCAAAACTTGAGTGGCACTTAGTTCCGACATGCACTATAGTCACAGTTGTAGTCACTATATATGGAAATTTGTTGTTAAGATTTCTGAAAGTTGTGCACTAGAATGAGGATCTCCTCCAGCCACTGGGTTTTGCAGTTGATGTTCACTTCCGGTTGTTTGGGTAGTCTCCCTAATTCGTAATTTTGTGTTGGAGGAATTAAAGGGGAGGCCATCTCTTCGATGTTTTCGCTCCTGACGAAGCAACTGTTTGTCCGTGGAAAGAACCATAAGTCCAACATAGTCCAACCGAAAGGAGACAAATATAGAATAGAATTAAAGCTGACTTCATACTTCAGCAACTTCAGCACAAACTTCAAGAACACAAACAACAAGTATGAAATAGGCCATCCCAAATACGTTCAGCGTCCCGTTCTGCACGGCGGCCCCAGGTGATCCCTGTCGCAGACTTCCATCAGCCGGAGTTTCTGGACATCTCTGAGGTATGGAGACCCGTTTTGGCAGCGGTTTTGGTGAAAGGACCTTCAGTTCGTGACCTCTTTGTTCATCTGTAAGTGACCTCTTTATGGACGATTCGTGACCTTTGATCTCAAGTTCGGTCACAAACTGAAGATCCTGGCTAGAGTCTTGTTCACCTCTGTTGGAAACCAAAAGGAGTCTTGGCTAGCTGATTGCTGCTTTTCCCCCATCCAAGAGAGTGCAGCATCCAGTACTGCCCTTGTGAACCATGGTCGGACCAACCGACCGCCGTTTCGAAGCCGACCGCCGCCCGACCGACGTCCCCGGTCTCAGGTCTCGACGCAGCGCGCGCCCTTCACCGGAGTCGCGCTGGGCGCGGACGCATCGCTGTTCTTCACGCCAGGCGGACGACCCGGTGATGTCTGATGGATGTCGATGGTCCGAATGCAGAATTCCCAACCACTCGGGACTGGCATCATATTCTATATATGGCATATATTCATACGTATACACATTGGGGGGATTTCAGGGGCCAATGTAGGTAAAATATATGCAATGCATGGAGTGTTTGGGATTTAGGAAGGCTGCGTTTGTGTTATAGAGGGTAGCATATAAGAATTCACCACTGGATTGTAGATCCCTAAACAATAATAATCTACGGCCATATTGAAGGACTGATAAATCACATTCAAACATCAATGGTCTCTTGGAAAACAATGGTTCTTCTACAGATGCTTCCTTTTCCCGAGTCAACGTAAACCGTTCAGGGAGGGATCGATCAAAAAGTTGGGCAAGGTCGGTTTTGAAGGGTCTAGAGTCGGACGAAATGACTTCTATATTTGAGAATATTGTTTTTGTGCATATAGTGGGAATTGTCAGGATCTAATTTCCAAGCTTGGAATCTTCCTTATAGTTATCTACAAGGAGTAGGGTGCCCCAACTCGGTTCACAACCTCATAACGAGCAGGCCATTGCCACATGCAGCACGGGGTGCAGTTGGCTCGTTTCCCTTCACATCGCTCGTTGGGAGGTTTGGGGGGCGAACCATTGTTGCTCTCGAAGAAGACGAAGCTCGAGCTTTGGGCTTTGCCCCTGCCGGAGCCACCCGAGGCGGTTTCGAAACGAGCTTCCGTTCCGGCGCCGTGGGTGAGGTGAGGTGAGGTATAGGTTGGTCTCCACTGCAGGTCTTGATGGAGTCGAGTCGGTGAATCAACTGGTGCCAATTGAGTGGAAGAGCTCAACAACGTGTCACTGGCACATGGGTGGCGTTTTTGGTTCTCAGCCTTACAACCTATACGACGCATGAAAGGTTTAGCATGGTCCAGCGTCAATTCATGTTAACTCCATGATCCACGAGAGTCAAATCCTCCCGCACAATCACAACTAGCTGTCTTGAGCCCAAAAAGCACCAATCAAAGAATAGGGCGATCGGTCTCCGTCTCAATCCAACGGAGAACACAGCACTGACACAACAAGGTTTCGGATGGAAAGTCGCCAGTAGAGAGCGGTGTTTGTTGTGCGTCTTAGAGTGAGACGTCATTTCAACTCACATTTACCGGCCCTGTGTGTTGCAACACACGAGAGGCCTGAAGACTCATCCCTGCCACAGGAGAAGCAGAAGAAATACAAGTTTTCCAATAAGGGTGGGACACCAAGATTTGCTTAGTGAGGACGTGTTTTGGGTGTGGATCACACCGGATACGGGATGGGTGGTCTTCATGGGTGAAACAGGCCTCCGGACCAAGAAGTCCACGGAGAAGTTCTGGGTCTCCATTGCCCTTTATTACTAGTCAGTAGCGTCCTTGCTCCTAGGGATGGCCTCCAGCCTAGTAGCGATGGCCTCCACCCTAGTAGCTTCTAATGTGTTTGCATACACTGTGTGCTTCTTGTGTTTTTAATGTCGTTTGTTTGTTCAATCACCGCAAGGTCCACCTATACCAAATACGATATGCAAAACACTCAAATTCGTATGTTCCGTTGACCTTGCGCAAGCACAATTGACGTGATATTCTGCTAGCTGCTAGCTACTCTTCCCATCGAATTCCTGTTGTTTTGCCTTTTCACACCAAAAACCCGGTGATTCGAGTTGAAAACGCTGGACGGAGCATCGCACCGTTTGCGCCACGAGTCGGATTTCATCGATGATTCTTAAAGTATGTAGCTTATTGTTTCTATATTATATGAATAGCAAACCGGTGATTCGAGTTGACGTAGAGCATCGGGGCGTAGCGATGGCCTCGTCGAATTTCATCGATGGGCCGTGTGACGACTGTACCCCGAGCGCTCCATCCAACCAAGTGGCGGAGCGGGTGGCGAGTCTGGTGGTGTTTTTCACGGGTGAGAAAACGTCAGTCTTCTTGTCTTCTGCAAGAGAAGATGGTGTGAGGTACGCGGTACTTCGCACCTTCACAAGTTAACATCTATACTCTGAGATTGCTGTTTGTTGGGTATTCGTTGCATGCTCCGTATTTGAAGGATAAAAGCGTGTTTGTTGGTTGAATTCCCAACATGCAAATTCCTTTTTGTTGATTGACTTGGGATTGGATGATTGACAAAGTCCTAGAGTCCTTGTTCTCGTCCCCTAGTCCCGTCTCGTGCATGGTCAGACATGCTGTTGATTGTTGCGGATTTTTTACTGGAGATGTCCACCACATTCCCAATTGTGGAGTGCATATTTTTCGTATTTGGTCGGTGCTGGAACGGTTACAACTTGTCACAAGCTTGCTGACCAATATGACATCGAAATAGATTGAAAGTAGCCTTTGGAAGACGAAGCTTCAAATTGTTCCACATCACCATACAACACCAGTAGCTTTGAGGTTGAGTGTTACTTTGTAGTTTGTTGATCAAACAAACTTCTGGTGGCGCCAAACGACTGCAGGTCTCCCTAAGGCCCCTAAGTCTATTTTACCTTTCCCGACGATAGACAGGTTTAAAGATTAAGAAGAAGACTCTATTCCAGTACCAGGTTGGGAGCTATGTTCGTCCAGGGGGTTCCAGCTCTTCTCCTTGGTGTTGCCAGTATCTGAGGACAAAGAGCAGCAATCGTCCGCAGATGCAGCGCAACACGCGGCCACAAATGCAACGCAACACGCGGCCGCAAATGCAGCGCAACACACGGCGGCCGCCGTTCTTGAGGAATGCTAAGAAGGTTGGAAAGAAGACCACGTTTCTTGGCTGTGGCCAGAAAAAGCGGAAATCCTCAACAGCGGACATCGGTTTCGGCTTGGATGCTTTCGGTTTCGACCTCGATCAGGGGTGTGTATATAACCCGGTGGTGTTCATGTCTTCACGGCGTTCACCCGGAAGAGGTCACGAGGTCATGTCGCTTCAGATGAACCGGACCTGGAGACGCCCTAAGCTGTCTCGAAATGCCGCCCCGAAGCTGTCAGTCACATGCCTTGAAGACCAGAAGACCAGAAGACCCTGAGGTTTTCAGGAAGTGAATCGGGCTTTCTCGACGGAGGGCTCAAGATTTTATCAGGTCCAAGGAGTGTGATCTCAAGCAGTGAACATATTTGTACGATTTTCCAGTACAATTATTTATGAGCATCTTTAAATCCAATCAAATTCAATCCTTTTGGATTTTTCTTTGGGACTGAATTGACAAACTTGTCTTGAATAAGTGGAGATAGAGATGTTCTTTTGGGTAAAGCCCTTACACCCAAACCCGCTTTACAACTTTGCAACGTCCTACCAGTTGTTTGCTACGCATCATCAACCGGCATCGCTCAAAGAACACGGACTGAGCTTCTTCAAGCTAGCCTTATGGTAAGAAGTGCGTTTTGTTTCAACCTGAGGGCTTTGGAGAGGTGAGTCACCACATTGGCTTGGCAGGGCCTTCTTTGGCCTTTTCCATGTGATGTCCTACCTGACCAGTTCAATGGAAGGTGACCAGTTCGCACAACTGTGGTTTCGTAGGGATTGGAGAGAGCAGAGCGCATCTCTTCCGCCGATGAGGCAGAGCGCACCAATGCTACCAGCAGCTCATGAGCTTGAGCCTGACCGAGACATTCGCATCGAGAAGATCCAGCGGAACATTGTCGCGCTGGGCTGCGTGGTCTGCGTGGTGTGGGGAGGATGGGCCTTGGCCACCGCGTGGTGTTGTGGGCTCCGGAAGAAAGGAACTCATGAGGAAACACAGCTACTTCATGGTGTGTCAGAGGCTTTGCAAGAAGGACATGCAAGCATTTGGGAGAACTTTTGTCAAGGTAATCACAGGGACCGCATTTTGATAGCTATGTGGCAATATGGAATATGTATGGAATATGTACTTTTCTTTCGGAACAAGAACATCCTTGAATGAAATATGATTTTCTTGAGTATTTGATGTGAACGTGAATCACCAGCACTTCAATTCAAGCAAACTAACCCTTACTTTGGACAACCTCTCAGACTGCCTAGTCTCATCCTTTAAACCAAAGTTCAACACGTTCGACGCGTCCCGTTGGGACGTCCAAAACCGTTTGGACTCGGTACGAACCGAAGCAGGCACGCCGTTTGGTCTCGTTCGGAAGACGAAAAGCGGTGCTGAGGCGAAAAGCTCTATTTGAGCCCGGGGAAGATGGGTTACATGCTGAGCATCGACACCTCAGCCCCTTGGCACCTATCTTGGCATCTGCGAGTCCAGTGGCTGCTGTGAGCACTGAGCTCGACTCTGTACCGAGCTGGGACGGTTTTGGTGGAATGTTTGGTTGGGCTCGAGGGAGCAAGACGTTCTTCTTGGAACTCAACAATGTGCACCAGAGGTTTCAGAACTTGTACTCAAAATTTCATTTGTACCAGGCTTGTATACAACTTGATGCAATTGATTTTTTAGATTTATCCCTATGTGTTGCAAGCTTTGCTAGCAAGAGTTCCGCAGGTATAAGGCACTTGAACTACAGGAAATCATTGGACGGAAGGAAGCATTTGCTTCAGCGTTGCTTTGCGACTGAGGTGGGGATCAAGACAGAGTGACCGCTCAGTCAGCAAAAGGAATTGAGGCACAGCTGCGAAGCATGCCAGGGTCCATCAACGACTCCAAAAACAAGAAAAAAGGTGTCCGCTCTTCCAAACACCTGTGCCTTTGGACAGAACTGACTTCTTTTGTTCGTTTGTCTTCCAGGTGACCCATATCTAACTAGCTGCCCTTTGTTCGTTGGGCGTTCGGGGGTGTTCAAGCAAAGAAACATGAACAGGACATGATCCCATCGGATCGTGATGTTCGACCGGTCCAGCCGCAGCCACCCAGCGGATCACATGGATCACGGATCACTCCGAAATCATCCCAGCGCCCCCCCCGGCCGATTCCATTTGTTTACGGCAGAATAAAGCGGGTGAACCGAACGTGAACCACGGAGTGGCTAAGCCAGTTGGGGCTCAAAGGCACAGGCAACAATCCTCATCCCAAAACCATACGGATTGTTTTGGGAATGTGGTGGGAACTTTAGGGACAAATTGACCAAAGGCTGCGGGTTTGGTTGAGTCTTGACCTGTTTTGACACTTGCATACCATTGCCATGGGATTTGAAGTCATCTTACTCTGTGAAAGGTTTCCTTGCCACACCCTGCACGGGTGACACAGCAGAGCGAACAACCGAATTGTTGGACCCATTGTGTACAATTAGTATTCATAAAATAATATATGTGTTTTTTTGTGTTAACGTTTCTGGTGAGTCAAAACAGAACAGCTTGACGCTTGGAACGTCCCAGATGATACATCCCAAACACGACCGAATGAAGTGAAGACTGATATATCCCAAACACGACCGAATGAAGTGAAGACTGATATATCCCAAACACGACCGAATGAAGTGAAGACTGATACATCCCAAACACGACCCGTAGCCCCAGGCTGGCAATTACCTACCATTGACCCCCGTTTCAAGCACCGTAAATGAGCAAATGCCAGTCCCCGACGGGTCGTGTTGGGGGATGTCCAGCGTCTTGACCGTTTCAGGGGGATTGGAATCGCCGTGTGCTCTCAGCGGACTGGAACGTCCAGTGCAGCGGTAAGCAAACCTGACATCTAGGAGGCTTACCAAGCTCCAAGCAGCCAAGCCCATAATTACTGCCAAACTTCTGGTCGATGTAGAGCTTCACAGTGCATATTCATCATATTTACTGGGCCACAGGACAAATGAGCAAAGCGTTCAAAAAGCTCTTCCAAGCTTTGCCACCAAAAAAGAACAGACTTTCCCACCTGGCACCTGGGGGAGGCGTTTCCCTGCGTCGTATTGGCTTTTCTTTGTCTCCGCAGCTCCATGGCTTTCCACGGGTACCAATGGCTCAGCCGGCGAAGGTCGAAGGCGAGGGTGTCCAGCTTTTCGGGAGGCACGAAGCTCCAAGAGCTGCATGGGACCCTGACACGACCCACAAATATGGAAGCTACTAGGGGCTCCTGGCCCACAAATATGGGTTCGATTTACCTGACATATCCTGAACTTGTTTACCCCGATTTTAACCACGCCAATGTAGGCCCGGTAAAGACTCCATGGAGTCGGAGACTGAAGGAGTTTTTCACCGAAAGGTTGTAGATGTGTCATGATACAGTTTTTTCCCCTATGAAAACCTGAACCAACAGTTTTGGATACAGTGCGCAGGAGTGTCTCTTTCAGTTTGGTTTGGATTCAAAGCTTGACTTTGCATGGTTTGGAACCTTTCTGTAATGATGACTCGTTCACATATTCACACGGTGGGCACGTTTTGGGGCTTCATTATGCAAGCGGTAACCTATCTCAATCTCAACAGTAAATCTATAAGTTTCATTAAGTTTCATTGTTCTGAAAGGCGGAAGCCCCCACTGGCCGCTGCATGCAGCACTTGGAAAAGGCACTTGAAGAATGGTGGGCGGAAAGTAAGCAAGCGGCCAGCATGACCAAGGTATCTATGACCGAGCAAGTATTTGCACTATCCTACAAGATTGAACATGTTTGAACACTGAGATATTACGTAAGACCTTGAACAAGCTGGAAGTCTATTCCATAGATACCACAACTGTTCATGGAACAAGTTCTCCTGCAGCACGTCAAGTATACCCAAACTGCACGTACCATGATCAACAATCCAGGGCAACCCCCAAGGCTGGTCAACCTTGGAGTTTGCCGGTTTTGATGCATCCCCTTCTCAGTTTTCGTGACCCTCTCTTACAAGGATATTTTCGCCTCATAATATGTCTGTTCTCGTGTGCCTCGTCTTGCTGCTTCGGATCAGACATCTCAGCGAACACACGACACACCATGGCCGCAAAACTGTACTTGCGTGCTGGCGATGGTGACCAAGGAGCGTCGACACGCGGAGCGTCTCGGAGCGTCTCCCGGTCTAAGGTCTCGGTTGGGTTGTCGATGCTCTGGCAGACACACAGTTGGGGATCCAGTCATAGGGTTTGGGATCAAAGACCACCCAGGAGTCTTGATCCTTCGGCTGTTGGTAGTTTAGAGATGTTTAGAGTTGTGACACCAAACACACACACACACAGAAGAGGTTCGAGAGGATTTTGGCTCTGTGTGTTGAGTTCGGGTTCACAAGTTTAGAGTGAGATTCAGGAAGTGTCTCTGGGACTTGAGCTCAGATGGGAGAGAGGACTCGACACATGAAAGTTGATCACACAGGCCACATAGCGTGGAGCGTGGGAGGATGTGAGCGTTGTCCAGACCCTGCAGCTTGTAAACAGTTGGAAAGCATTCGGCAGATTTTCGCAGTACCATCATTATCTACCTTTGCAGGGTGGGGCATCTCATGGCCATGTTCACCTCAAGTTTCTCGCTATTGTTCTACCAAAAGTGCTTGGCCGTGTCCTCTCTTCCTCATTCCAATGCCCCCTGGCATGCGCCATACTTCGCCTGCAGTCATATTAGCTGTCCGCAGGACCCTTGCGAGAGATGGTGTCTCGGGAAGAGCTGGAAGCCTATTTAAAGCATTTTGGTGACTTTTGCGACTTGTGGATGCCTTGGAAGTCCGAGGATCAAAGGCTGAATGGGCTTTTTCCACGTCATCGGTTGTACGGCGTGGGACGAGTTTCGGTGTCTTTGGGGGGGCATGCAGACATGTTTGCACAGCGCAATACAGTCCAGTCACCCACTGGAAACCTGCAGAAACGGTTTAAACATGTTTAAACAAATTCATTATATTGTTGGCATTCAACCTATTTTCATATTATGATATGTATACCAAGTTACCGAGTTACCTCATCCAGCTTCTGCTCCCTCACGAGGGACAGACCTTTCTCTGTCCCGCCGAAGCTCGGTGTTGGGACGCGACACCGGTTGGAATCGCCACGGGAGGCCCTTTGGCTTTGTGACCTTCGTCGACCACCAAGCTGCACAGAGCTTTGTGGCGCAAAGCCCGCATCAGGTGCCGAATGCCAAGGGGCAGCTGGTGGCCAGGCGGGGAAGCTGCTCTTTTGCCCGAACTGTCCCAGCAAAAATGGTGGCTTGAAAGGATTTGGGTCAACCCCATCAGCTGGATGTCACGACGACAATGGCCCCGGCCCGGGCCCACGGCCGGCCCAAGGTCCTACCAGCTTTTCTGTAGAGATGGCTTTTACGGTTGGGTTCAACATGTGGTGGATGAATAACTTAGTTTTCATACCAGTGGAGAGAACTTGAGAATACTTGAATATAATATTGTGTCATTGATCACTCCTACATTGCATGCAAATTAAAATTCCTGCTCTTTTTCCTGGTGTAATTTTGCTTGAACAATTATACATATATGCTGCGTGTACAGTCTGGTATAAATGCTTTGGCAAGTTTGTTGATAGGAGATCTGAGATGTGGTTCTGTGTCTCACGAACCTTCCTTTCGCACGCTCGAGCACTCCGCTCGAGAGCAGATTCAAGCGCTCGAAAGCGGACACGCAGCGGGAACGCAGCGGGCCGCGTTCGGCACCGTGGGAGCGACTGGACGAGCTGGAGGAGCTTTTGCAACCGCTGAAGGTCGAGGGCGAATTGTCATGGAAGAAGCTTGACCTACCCAAGCAGGCCATGATTATGGTTTGACTTGTCAATAATTGGGGGATTGGTTTCCTCAATTACGAAAGCCAGCCTTCGTAGAAGGCGCTAGCGGAGTTGTGTCTGGCGAACGAAGTGAGTAGTTAGGGGGTCTGGGGGGGTGGCCCGAGAAAGGTATACGTCAACTCGGCACATGCTGGGGGAGGAGGGTGCTTCGAGGGAAGGTTTTTTGAGGTTGTGTTGGAGGTGATTTTTGAGGGGTGGTGATGCAAGAAATGCCAAATGCATCATTTGCATCATCTGAATGGAACTAGGGTAGCCATAGTGCAGCTACCAGGTATAGTACTTCAAGTTCCCTTTCCGTCAACCGCTTGAGAACCTCTACACACGCACAGCAATCCACAGCTTTGAAGTCCCATTCGTGCTTTGAACTTGTATAGGTGTGTAAGAGGTATAGCAACATAGTATTTATACGGACCCGGGAGTAGCTACAAGTAGCTACAGTTCTGTTCCCGGGTATGGCGCGCATGAGGCTTCAAAGCTGTGG